TAATGGATAAGGAGTCGGAGACAGGTCTGATTCGTTGAAGCCAAGTTTGATGAAGGTCTTGTAATACATAACCTCTGAAGGACTTCCCTGGTCTATGAGAACGCGCTCGATGGTAAATCGGTTTACGTGTAGTTCAATGACCAGTGGATCAATGTGGGGGATTGTTATGCCGATAAGATCTGAATCATCAAAGGTGATACTTGGAGCTTCTCGTGGCCGTTTTGCCGGCGTGAGTTGCTTCTGGGATACTGGGTGTGATTGAATTGTATGCACGGCTGGGGGCGTTGACAGGCTATATATCATATGAATGACACCAAGTGGAGGTGAATCCTGCCGAAGTGCAATTGTTTTGGTTGCGCTCTTTTGTACATGTTACTGGGGCTGACCATTTGGGACCGACTCCTCAAGGTGGTCTTTCAAAGCATAGCTATTGTCAGTGTCACGACCGTGATCTTTGCGATATTCACACCGCCTATCCCTTCTTCTCGTGTCGGGAGGTCCTATCATTTTTTATGGCCATTTGAAAAATGAGAGGGCCCACCTTATATGCGGACTCTCTTCGGAGGAACTGGAAACTTCAGGTCGTCCTTTTTTCTTGGGGATTGGGGATAATAAGTCGGAGTCGCTATCAGCGTCATGTCACAGGGCTCGAGATCGTCGACCAATTGCCTTCAGAAGTTGTTCCAGGGCTTGGCGTACAGCTCGTTTGGACTTTTCCACCTCCGAGGCCAAATCCTGACAGAGACGTTCATTTTCAGCGATCATGTTCACCAATCTCTGTTCGTTTTGCTTTACTTTTTTCATGATCGCTTGTGTTGCCTCATGCTCCGGAGTTGAAGGTGAGGCGTAGTGCAAAGCGCGTCGGGCAGGGATAATATCCGGTCCATGCATGTTTGTTGGAGTGAGGTCGTTTCTCTGCGTGGTATCATCAGTGACCATTGGAGGGTCCTCCGTCACATCCGCTATGGATATGCTTGAGTTTTCCCACAGACGGCGCCAATTGTGGAGAAGTAGTTTTGGAAATACTCTTTTGATCTTGGGGGACGCTCTTGGTCCTCTTCTAGTCACCTGAAAAAGAATGAACACTCCGGTCGGGGGTGCCGAAATTAGCACTCCGACGGGCAAGTCAGTCTCACACTCAAGATTGCTTGTATTCTAAGTTAAGTACAATAATTTTCACATACCTCCTCCTGGCTGATGTCTCTTCTACTTATATCTTTTCCTCTTTGGGCCTCGGGATTAGATCCATTTCCAACCTCCTAATCGGCACATTTTATAATAGACCGATCTTCACTCGGCCCCTTGCTTAATCAGCTATTTGGCCGAGTAGGGTTGGATTTGAATATTCGAGCCGATTGCCAAGTCAATCTCAACTCGGTCTAGATCTTCCGTGGCTTTCTCATTTGGGAGTCGCCTGACATTGTCGAGGTTATCTTGATCCGGCACCTCAATGGAATTAACGTGCAACTCCTTTGGCGTCTTTCCGGAGAGGATATAACATGCTTGTGCGGATTGTTGGGAACCACGGATCTGCTCAATGCCGTGTTCTGTCGGGAAGCGTAAAGCTGATGATAGGTGCTTAGGACGGCCCGCATAGTATGAAACCAAGTTCATCCCATGATGAGATTGTGCGACGAAGGAAGCTTGACGACTAAGAATTCCACATCCACTGTTCGGAAACCCGCTCGAACGGGTAGTATGATTTTCCCCAACGGATATTCTGGATTTGCGTTGAAGCCGAATAATGGATAAGGAGCCGGAGACAGGTCTGATTCGTTGAAGCCAAGTTTGATGAAGGTCTTGTAATACATAACCTCTGAAGAACTTCCCTGGTCTATGAGAACGCGCTCGATGGTAAATCGGTTTACGTGTAGTTCAATGACCAGTGGATCAATGAGGGGGACTGTTATGTCGATAAGATCTGAATCATCAAAGGTGATACTTGGAGCTTCTCGTGGCCGTTTTGCCGGCGTGAGTTGCTTCTGGGATACTGGGTGTGATTGAATTGTATGCACGGCTGGGGGCGTTGACAGGCTGTATATCATATGAACGACACCAAGTGGAGGTGAATCCTGCCGAAGTGCAATTGTTTTGGTTGCGCTTTTTTGTACATGTTGCTGGGGCTGACCATTTGGGACCGACTCCTCAAGGTGGTCTTTCAAAGCATAGCTATTGTCAGTGTCACGACCGTGATCTTTGCGATATTCACACCGCCTATCCCTTCTTCTCGTGTCGGGAGGTCCTATCATTTTTTATGGCCATTTGAAAAACGAGAGGGCCCACCTTATATGCGGACTCTCTTCGGAGGAACTGGAAACTTCAGGTCGTCCTTTTTTCTTGGGGATTGGGGATAATAAGTCGGAGTCGCTATCAGCGTCATGTCACAGGGCTCGAGATCGTCGACCAATTGCCTTCAGAAGTTGTTCCAGGGCTTGGCGTACAGCTCGTTTGGACTTTTCCACCTCCGAGGCCAAATCCTGACAGAGACGTTCATTTTCAGCGATCAGGTTCACCAATCTCTGTTCGTTTTGCTTTACTTTTTTCATGATCGCTTGTGTTGCCTCATGCTCCGGAGTTGAAGGTGAGGCGTAGTGCAAAGCGCGTCGGGCAGGGATAATATCCGGTCCATGCATGTTTGTTGGAGTGAGGTCGTTTCTCTGCGTGGTATCATCAGTGACCATTGGAGGGTCCTCCGTCACATCCGCTATGGATATGCTTGAGTTTTCCCACAGACGGCGCCAATTGTGGAGAAGTAGTTTTGGAAATACTCTTTTGATCTTGGGGGACGCTCTTGATCCTCTTCTAGTCACCTGAAAAAGAATGAACACTCCGGTCGGGGGTGCCGGAATTAGCACTCCGACGGGCAAGTCAGTCTCACACTCAAGATTGCTTGTATTCTAAGTTAAGTACAATAATTTTCACATACCTCCTCCTGGCTGATGTCTCTTCTACTTATATCTTTTCCTCTTTGGGCCTCGGGATTAGATCCATTTCCAACCTCCTAATCGGTACATTTTATAATAGACCGATCTTCACTCGACCCCTTGCTTAATCGGCTATTTGGCCGAGTAGGGTTGGATTTGAATATTCGAGCCGATGGCCGAGTGCTTCGAATCTCGACTCTCCCAGATTTGACTATCCAGAATCACTACGACTCCCAATACTCGGCCCCCACACGCGCCATAGACTATCCAATCTATCTACTCTATCTATTCTACTACTGGAGCTATCTATGAGTAATAACTCTACAACGCTATGTTTGAATAAAAGTAATTTCAGAATGATAAGTTATGATTTGGTTTATGAAATACTATTTTATGAATAATGAATGACTGTTCAATTTTCTGAAATGTATTTGTGGCATCCTTAGTTCACATGGCCTTCGGCCAGGGGAAACAATACCGTGGCTTACGATCATATGGCCCTTGCCCTAGGGAAACAATTTTGTGGTCTATGTTTACATGGCGGTGGGGAAGTGGTTTTTGAAAATACTCCTCAGATCCTGGGGGACGCTAGTTCTCCACCGATAGCCACCTGAAATGAATTAAACACTCCGGTCGGGGGTGCCGGAATTAGCACTACGATGGACAAGTCAGTCTCTCGTTCTAGATTACTTGTATTGTAAGTTAAACTCTATCATTATCACATACCTTTCTCAGTCTGCTATTCCTTTATTTATATTCATTTCCTGGCCCTCGGGGCCTGGTCCACTTTTCGCTCATTATGCCTATATTTACTCGGCTTCATAACTCGGTGCCTATTCGGCCCATCGTTCTGAATAGAGCCGGCAATACCTGTGTTAAAGTATGCCTCCTTTAAAATTCGGCTTCCACAATGGCCAGTGCTCGGAGGAAACAATACCATGGCTACTTGTGCACAAGATATGGACCTTTAGGGTCATTGGTACCGATTATGCATGTGGCTCTCAGGACCAATTTGATATGATAGCTAATGGATGTACCACGTATAACTGCTTATGACTTTTGGTTAAGTATGTGAATCTGAATATGTTTCTGATATGAACTCTAATTTTTGAAACTGTTTGGACATCATTCATAAACCCTTTACTCTATTGTTATTCAGTGGGTTTCACCTCACCATATTATTTATGTATGTAGGTGACCAGGCGCATGACCAGGCACATAGTTGATTACCTGGAGTTCCATTCTATCAGCCAGCCACTGTGCCTCCCAAGAAGGTTACCATCTGAGAAGTGGTCCTATTTTTGTGAACAATGTCTAAGACTTATCTTTTGTTTTGTTTTGTTTTTATTTTTGTTTTGTTTTGTTTTGTTTTGTTTTTTTTTGTATTTCTTTTGCTACTGGTTGAACATGTCTTTTGTTTGTCTTTATATGGTGATGCAGGGATGACGACTTAACTATGTAAATTAAGTTTTAAATTTTCTATTCCATGTATGTCTACACAACTCCATGGACACTGTATGTTTGCAATTGCGTTCGCTAGCCCCTGTATTTTGTTTAATTTGTTCAGAGGCCTTGCATAATCCCAAAATTACTTGCTAGTTACAATGATAAACCTATAGAAGCAGATTTGGGTCGTGACAGAGTGGTATCAGAGCGTGTGTCATACCGCACACACGAGTCCAAATGAGCTATAGGATGTCTTAGAAAAGAATTAAGGACATTACATCTGCATGTGCGAGTGTGTGACATCATGTGAACATATTTGAACCAATAAACATTGACAGTGAAATGAATTGACATGAACATATCTAAACTGAACATGAACATTGAGGAACTGTAAAGAATTATTTGCCTGTGTTTATTAGTACTTTGTTTACCTATAGCAATGGAAATACAAAAAGTAATGATACAGTTGAATCTTCTGAGGCCTGAATCAACTGCATGGAGTAGATGCTAGAGGCCTTAACAGAATCACTAAGACAGCAACAAGGACAACAACCTCTGCCTCCCACACTCCCTCCGGTCCAAGTGGAGCCGGTCAACAATAACATTCTCAGTTTGACTAAAAAATTTAACATGATGAAGCTACCAACTTTTATGGGTGGTATTGAACCACTAAAAGCGGAGACATGGATGTTAGAGACAGAGAAGTTATTTGAAGTGCTTATGTGCTCCAAAGCTCAGAAAGTACTGTTGGCTACTTATACTCTAAAGGAAAAAGCTCACAATTGGTGGATGCTTATTCGACATGACAATGGAGCCATGACTTGTGATCAATTTAAAGAAATTTTCTATGAGAAATACTTCCCTCAATGCTTTAGAGACAGAAAAGTGTTAGAGTTTGAGCAACTGAAGCAAGGTTTCATGTCTGTGGCTGAATATAAAGCCAAATTTACTGAGTTGGCCCATTTTGCTCCGCATATGGTAGATACGAATTAGAAGAAGGCCAAAAAGTTTGAAGGAGTTCTTAACCTAGATGTATTTGATTGGATCGGTGTATTAAAGCCGCCCAAATATGTGAATGTTCTTGATCAAGCTCTAATGACGGAAACTAATTTAGCTGCAATGAAACAAACAAAAGCTCAAACAACTGAATTGAGGGGTAAAAGATTTGGGTTTAATTCCAGAAAAGGTCGGTCAATTTCAAAGAAGCAAAATACAGGGTCCTCCAGTATTTCAAGTCAAAGTAGTGGTACATCACCTACTTACTCAGAATGTGGAAGGAAACAAAAGGGCCCCTGCTACCGATCAACAGGAGCTTGCTTCTGGTGTGGCAAGATTGGCCACATGATGAAAGATTGCCCACTCACAATTGAAAATTCCAACCGTCCTGTGGCAAGTTCAGCCGAATCCACTCCTGCACTAAGAACTAATACCAGAGCTGACACCAGATAGGAAAGTTTGAGATAAAGCCTAGTTTTTGCACTTGTGCCTGGAGACATCTAGAACACTGAATCAGTAGTGTTAGGTATAATCCCTATTTGTGCTCAAAATGCATTTGTCTTAACAGACTCTAGATCTACCCATTCGTTTGTGTTGCATGATTTTTCTCAGAAATTGACTAGACCCTTAGAAACTATGAACTATTTGCTGTCAGTATCTACACCATCTAGGGGTTGTATGATATGTGCTTATGTGTATTCTACATGTGATATTGTAATTGGAGAAGTACTTTTATATGTTGATTTGCTGCCATTGGATATAGATCATTTTGATTGCATATTGGGTATGGATTGGCTAACAAAATATCATACTACCATTGATTATATTGCTAAATTTGTTGTGTTTCGGCCGCCGGGGTTGCCTGAATTTGTGTTTGCTGGGAATGGTCTCCCCTATATTTAATCTCTGAAATGAAAGCTAATAAACTGTTGAGAAAGGGGTGCCAGGTTTATTTGTGTTGTGTATTGATTATGCCCACATATAGTACTAATGTAGAAAACATCCCTGTAGTCAATGAATTTCTTGATGTGTTTCTAAATGAACTACCCGGTGATTTGATTGATAGAGAAATTGAATTTACCATTGACGTAGTATCTGGAACACAACCTATTTCCAAAACCCCATACAAAATGTCCACCTCTAAACTGAAAGAATTAAAAATTCAGCTTCAAGAACTGTTGGATAAGAAGTTCATTTGTCCGAGCATTTCACCTTGGTGTGCTCCAGTTTTGTTTGTTAAAAAGAAAGATGTATCTTTGAGGCTATGTATAGACTACTGGGAATTAAATAGAGTAATTATCAAGAACAAATATTCATTGCCCCAAAATAGATGATTTGTTTGACCAACTCCAGGGAGCCCAAGTGTTTTCAAAAATAGACCTTAGGACCAGGTACCATCAGTTGAAGGTTAAAATAGAGGATGTAGAGAAAACTTCCTTTCGAACTAGATATGGACATTATGAATTCCTAGTAATGCCATTTGGAGTAACGAATGCACCTGTCGCCTTTATGGACCTAATGAATAGGGTGTTTAAACCATATTTGGATGAATTGTTGTTGTATTGATTGATGATAATTTGATTTACTCCAAAAGCAGGGAAGATCATGAAAATCATTAGAGAACTGTACTACAAATTCTAAGAGAAAGGAGATTGTATGCGAAACTCTCAAAATGTGAATTTTGGCTTGACAGTGTGAGTTTTCTAGGGCATGCGATCAATAAAGATGGCATATCCGTTGATCCACAGAAAATTGAAGCTATTGTGAATTGGCCAAGACCAATAAATGTGTCAAAAGTTAGAAGCTTTTTGGGGCTTGTTGGCTATTATAGAAGATTTGTGAAGGACTTCTCGAAATTTGCCATGCCATTAACACAGTGGATATAGAAAAATATACCGTTTGATTGGAATGATGAAAGAGAGTTCGCTTTTTAAGAATTGAAGACTAGATTAGTGACTGCACCAATATTGACTCTACTTAATGGTACAGATGGGTTCCAAATCTACAATGATGCATTGTACAAAGGTTTGGGATGTGTGTTAATGCAAAATGGGAAAGCAATTGCATATTCTTCACGACAACTCCGACCACATGAAAGGAACTTTCAGACCCATGACCTTAAACTTACAGCTATGATTTTTGCGTTGAAAATCTGGCGCCACTATCTATATGGAGTGACTTATGAAGTATATACTGACTACAAAAGCCTAAAATATTTCTTTACCTAGAAATAATTGAATATGAGACAAAGAAGATGGCTCGAATTGATTAAAGATTATGACTTACAGATTTTGTATCATCCCGGGAAAGCAAATACAGTTGCAGATGCTTCGAGCAGAACATCCATCGGGAATTTGGCATGTTTGCTTACTGGGCAGAAAGAATTGTTGTATGAGTTGGAAAGAAATGAAATTGAAATTGTATTGCATGAACATAGTGGAGTTTTTGCTGCCATATATGCACAACTAGCTATATTTGAGGAAGTTAAAGAAAAACAATTACAATATGAATTTTTGAAGAAGGTGGTTGATGAGATTGGTTCAAAATCGAGACCCGAATTTGTGTACAAAGACAATGTCTTGAAATTTCAAGGAGGACTTTGTGTACTAGATTGTTTAGATTTGAGAAAGCACATTATGACCGAAACTCATAATTCAAAATTTTCTATGCATCCCGGAAACACGAAGATGTATCATGATTTGAAACAAAATTTTTGGTGGCCTGGAATGAAAAAGTGTATTACTGATTTTGTAGCTAAATGCTTGCACTACCAACAAGTGAAAGCTGAATATCAACGACTCGCTAGATTACTTTAGCCGCTTCCAATACTAGAATGGAAATAAGAGCATATCACGATGGACTTAATTGTTGGCCTACCTCGTTTTTCTAGTGGTATGGATTGTATCTGGGTTATTGTTGATCGTTTAACTAAATCTGCTCATTTTCTGTCTGCGAAAACCTTTTATAATGTGGACAAATTGGCTAACATATATATGAACGAAATTGTGAGATTACACGGAGTACCAGTATCTATTGTATCTGAAAGAGACCCCAAGTTTACTTTAAGATTTTGGTAGAGTTTGCAACAGGCTTTGGGAATTGAACTGAGACTTAGCAGTGCTTATCATCCACAGATAGATGGCCAATCTGAATGAACCATTCAAACCTTGGAAAGACATGCTCAGAATGTGTGTGTTAGATTTTCAAGGAAATTGGGAAACTTACCTACCTTTGGTTGAGTTTGTGTACAACAACAGTTATCATTCAAGTACTGGAATGGCTCCTTATGAAGCTCTGTATGGTAGGAAGTGCCGATCTCCAATTTGTTGGGCCGAAGTACGTGATAGACCATTGTTGGGACTGGAACTTGTGCAAGAAACAACCGAGAAAGTGAAATTAATTCAAGAACGTTTGAAGACAGCCCAAAGTCGCCAAAAGAGTTATGCAGATATTTGGAGGAGAGACAGAGAATATGAAGTAGGTGACCATGTATTCATCAAAGTAACTCCTATGAAAGGCTAGACACGACTTGGGGTTAAAGGCAAGCTAGCACCGTGGTACATAGGCCCGTTTGAAATTATTGAGAAAATCAATCTTGTGACGTACCGAGTGGCTTTACCTCTAGTTATGGAGAACATGCATAATGTTTTTCTTGTTTTGATGCTTCAGGAATATCTACGAGATCCACTCCATGTGATTGAACCGACACATGTACTTCTAAAAGATGATTATACCTACGAGGAACGACCAATCCAGATTGTGAACTGCCGAATCAAAAGACTGAGAAAAAAAGTAATCCCATTAGTGAAAGTAGATTGGAAAAATCATGGAGGAACTTGTGCAACATGGGAAACCGAAGAGGACATGATGAACAGATACCCTAACTTGTTTCCGCTAGACCCGACATTCTTTTAAATTAAAGGTAATTCGAGTTTAGAGGACCAAACTCTTTAAGGGGGAAAGACTGTAACAACCCTGAACTGTGATTATTCACTAAAACATGATTAAGAATGCCTAATAAGTAATTAAGAAGAAATTCTAAATTAATTGCATGTGTATCGTGTTATTTGTGCTTATATCTGTTTGATGTAGAAATATTTGCCCGTATTTCTGATTCGGTATGCAAATTGAAGGCCTTGTCGACATCCGATCATGAAATTGACCCGACTTATGTGTTATTTAGAATTTTTAGGATTTTATTATAGGTTTAATTGAAATCTGATTCGGAACCAAATAATTAGAATAAAATAATTATAATTGACTAGCCTTAAGCTAAGTCTAATTAGACTCCACTAATTGAGCCTATACAAGGCTAATTGATTTTGAACTCACTCGTATTTTACACTCCCTTATCTTCCTTGAGCTCAGAAAAAACGTGAGAGAGAGAGATAGAATCCCAGAAAGAGTTTGGATTTAAGGAAAGGAAAAAGAATTGTAGAGAATTGAAGGATTTGACTTCGAAACTCAAACAATTGAACATCTAGAATACAATTAAGAATCTAAGGTAAGAATTCAAGGCTCTAGTTTTGTAATTAAGTTGGTTAATGCATGAATTCAAGGAAATTAAGCTATGAGATGCATGAAATGAACTAAAGAAGTAGGAAAGAAAAGTTAACCATGCATGCATGTGCATTTCATGAAGTTTTGAAGTTGTTCTCAATGAATTCTCACTTGCATGTGCTCATCTTGACTTTGTTTTGTGAATTCATCACATTTCAAGACATTTTATCTCAATGATCATGTTTTGGAAGAAATGAAATCATGTCAATTCTGGCATGTGTTTTAACTCATGTTTGGTTTGCACAACTGACTTAGCTTTGGGCTTCTATTTTGTGAAATGATCTTTAATTCTTGATATATTACAAGTTCAAACATGTTTTCTTAAGTTTTGGGCTCAAAAGGTGTGTTTTGATGCTTTGAAGTTGAGTTTTGAAGCTGGGAGTGCAATTTGGAAATTCCAGAACTCGCACACTTTGCTCGAGCGGTGGAGTCTGCGCTTGAGTGAAGAATGCAAGCTCTCAGTACTTTTGCAGAGTTTGGGGGTTGGCTCAAGCAGCGGAACCTGTACACGAGTGACCACCCGTATTTTTGATCCTCAGCTTGAACGTAGGAAGTTCTGCTCGAGCGTAAAATAAGAGCTCCCAAAAGTTTTGCAGAGTTTTGCAGACCGCTCAAGCGACCAAAGTTGCGCTTGAGTGAAGACCATGTTTTAAGCAAATTTGATTGAGTGTTTCAACTTATATTTTGGCATCCTCAGTGCATCTTAGGCATTCATAAGACTTAATTGAGTCATTATATTAAGGATAAAAATTAGAAACACGCCTAGATAGAAAGGGAATGAGTTAAGTGTTTTTCGGGCGTGTGTTTCAATGTGTATCCGTTATGTGTTTGTATAGGTCACGCGCCATAGACTATACGATTTGTCTGCTCTGTCCATTCTGCTACCGGAGCTA